TGGTTGCTGTAGTCTGCAGTGTCTTTCAAACTCAATTATGCCAACATTTACTCTACAATGAGCACAAAATATATCTGAGATTTGGAATTCAACTTTTGTGCAGAACTTTCATACATAAATTACCATAAATAGTACTGTACCCTATTGAGCTATAAGAAATAAAGATATGTATGAACCCATATAAAAATTCTTGGTATTGATTTTTTTTTTTCATTCTTTCTTGGAGGTAACCAAATTATTGAAGTATTTCCCAATAAGATAAAAATCTTGTGTATGTATGTAAAAGATGAGCTGATGACCCAAAGTGGGAAAGACAAAATGTTCTCCTTAATCATTATGGTACATCGCAACAGACGAAAATATATTGGGTATGTAGAATAATCAGAGTTTTCTCAGATATGTCTTTAAGGCATAGCAGTTTGTTTTCTAAATGTGACATTTAGATAACAATATCAGGCCAATACAGGGTAAGTCTAACAAGATGTGATGTAATATAGAACAAGATATGAATGTTTCTCCTGACTTGATTTCAGACTTTATACAGTTCTTGTTGTTTTCTTAAATAAAGGCAATGCCATTAAAGTGTTAATAATCTTTGCAGCCCCCTTTCTCCCAAACTGCCCCCACATGGTTTTGGTGGTCTCATGAGACTATAGCCTCTATTTTGTTGTTGTTATTGCTTTGTTCACTTTATTTCTATCCTGTTCTTCCTTCTGGAGGAAATGAAGTAAAAATAATCTTAAATAAAGCAATCGTAACAAAACCATGGATCCTTAAAGCCAAGACATTAAAAAAAAAAAAAAACAGGGTTTATGTAAAAGTAAAAAGAAAAATAACAATCAGAAAGGTGGTCCTGAAATAGATTATTATCCAACAAATGCCTGGATGAGCAAGCACGACTTCAACTGTCTAAAAGAAGACACTGTAGGGGGCACCTGTATCTTCATATTTACATCATATTTTGTTTAATTTATTCATTTATTATAGTTATGGCGGCAGCAAATGCATGCCTCTCAGCGATTTACAGTAATGACAAACAACACAAACATTTAAATAGAATATCCATGATAGGAACTAAAATAAATAAAATCCTAAATCCATAAACATCATAAATACAATCAAGTGGGATGTTCTATCACTCATCGCAACTCCTCTAGAATAATTGAGTTTTCAGGAGTTTCTGGAATGGCAGGACAATGGGGGCTTTAAAGGGAGGGGTGCTCCATAAATAGGTGATCATACTGAAGAGCAGTGCCTACAAGCCTTCCCACTCCTCCATACTTTGCAAACCTGGGGGAGGTACCAACAGTTTCTCAACTAGATCTTAACCAGTAGAGAAGACTTAGTTGGCATTTTGTAGTAGAGGCAGAAACAATGTAACTCCATGGAATGCTGGAGTTCTTAATTTGTCCTGGATTTAAATTTTAGAGGTGCAAATTCTGTTTTTGGCAGCAGATGTATAATTTCGTTCCTATGAATGTCATGTTGCTGATTGATGAACAGCAGGCACTGAGGTTAAAATAAACCCTGGAAACAACTAACAAACTGATTTTTCCACTTATTATCATAACAATGTGTTTTGTTAATCCAAATGTTGAGCAACAGAGCACAAAACTACAGCTAACAGAAAATGGGAATGGTTGATTGCAAACATCAATGAAGGGATGTTGCTCATTTTCTTGAATATTCTTCTCTAGTCCTCTGCACAGAACTTCTGAATGTGAGGACATGTGCATTTCAAATCATGGAGGAAACAGGAAAAGCTATTCTATAATAATATTACATAGATTTTCTCACAGAACTCACAAATCATATCCATACATCCTTGATTCCACAGAGAAAAGGCAAGATCCTTTACAAGTCTAGCCACTGTTCTTGGCCACATGAAAGGGGATGAATGGAGAATGGCGGGAATCAAGTTGATAAATGCAGACAGCATTTGTTAACTGACACTTGATATTAGCAAAGGAATCATCTGAGATGTCAGTAAATCAGTGTAAAACATGTTTATGACTCTTAAGTAAAAACCATCTGTGCTCAGTGTCAAGCCAATTACAAGAGAAAAGCAGAGAATAATAATCTTTTGGCATGGTTTTCTCCCCAATGACAACCTTCTAATGTTGCTCAGGTGTAATGAATAACAGCACTAAACCCTTAAAGAGATTTAATTATTGGACTGAAGCATAAGAGTACATTCATCACCCTGTACTGCCGTTTCTCATAATAAGACCTATATATAAAGGAGACACTCTCTGTCCCTCTTAAAGAAAGCAGCTTCATGAGACAGGAAAACTGAAGCAGAAAGCACAATCTGTTTTCTCTAGCAGGTCCTATTGCCCTGGCTGCACTCTGAATTGTGAAAAGCACCTTTGAAGTAGCCTGTTGACAGCCAACATCAGATATCTTTTGCAATTGGCAGCCTTCAAGAAGGATGAAGATCCCTTGGCATTACATGGTACTCACTCTTAAATAAAATGGTTGTTAAAAAAGAAAGTATTCCATTCTACAAGGTTAGCTTTCTGTGGCAATACGCTTTCTGCATAACCACCTTCAAGCTTCCAGCAGAATGAAAGACAAGGAATGATGCTCACAGCAATTTCAATTAATGCCAGGAACTAAGAAAGTAGACTTATTTTAATAGGATTACTTGCCCGCCCAGCCACAGTTGGGTTCACTTGGTGTGCTAAACTATAATCTGAATCATTCAACTTGGGCTTAATGTGCTGCCTGAACCCAGATGGTTGTTAGCCTTGATTTATCATAGTCCTTCAGATTCAAAGAGAAAAAGTCCTTTGGAGCACATGGGGATGGACACTTACCCCTGCCCAGTAATTGCTCAAAGCAGCTACATCTTGCCGTGAGATCATTCCTCTGATCTCTGCAGCCACAGCACAGACCCAGGAAAAGAAACGTTTTGTTTAAGGAGCTGCCAACAAAGGCTACGTGGGCAGCCCTGTGTGCTCCAAAGCCTGTTTTTGCCTTTGAATCTGAAGCACTGTACAACCCTTCTTTACAGACCAGGTGCAGGAGTTATAGGCTCCTACCAACTTTCTGCAGCCCCAAGAGCATTCCTGGAAATCAACCAAGCTAAAATAGTCTTTTTTTTTTTTTTGGTTTGCTGAGTTGCTTGGTTGGGGGAATGGAATGGGGGAATTAAAGAATGAAATGGGTACTTTTCATCCCATTTAACCCTCCCCGCCCCCCGCCCCCCCAGTATTGGGTTGATTTGTCCTAGTGGCTGGGGCTAAATGGGAAAATTGATGCCAAAAGCTACTTTGAAGGGCTCATTTCTTTTCTCCACCCTCCCCCCCATCTCAATTCAGACCAACGTTTGACCCTGACACAACGGATGATGATAAGGCATCCATGGCCCCATTCCGTGGTTCTAAGGGACTGAAATGTAAGAAACCTGTGGATGTACGGCTTGGTGTTTTGTGTAAACACAGACTATTGCAGTCTGTTCAATCAACTGTGATTAAACAAAACATGAGACAGTGTCATATGTGCCAACCCAACTGCTTCATTTGACAGCCAATTTCCAATAACTCACTGCCCAGAGTTGCCTTTAGTAGATGGGCAGCTATATAAATTGGTTTAGTATATAACAATTACATTGATGTGAGTTGAAGCAGTTCTTTTTCAATGTTATACCCGACTTCAGATGAAAAAGCTAAACAAAAAAAAATGTTTGTAATACTGCCATCCTAAATTGTAATTGTAAAAATAGCAATAGAATATTTTTATTTTTTCTCTTTTTTATTCTCAATATTCTAAGCTATTTAAATAATAGAATGTTAATAATTTTTAAACTTATTATGCGAACATCAATGTATGGAAATAATACAATGTACTAAGGTTTATAACAACATAATAAAAACTCGAAGAAAGATGGACAGAGTATTTCACAAAACAGACTCAGGGAGGTTTTGTGATTTCAGATCTCCTGAGCTTGAGTGATCTGATCTGCTTTGTATACAGAATTTTTTTAAAAAATAAATTAATAGGGACTGAGTCAGAGAAAAAAAAAAAGGTTTAATAAACAATCTCACACAGCATTTCCCCCCCCCCCCGCTCCAAAACAGACTTCCATCCCCTGTGCTTTTTACTATTTTTGACTGGAGAAGATGAGGATTGAACCTCGGATTTTTGGGGGATTTATAGCATACTCACTGCACTGACATATGATCATTTT